TCCAAAGACTATTTCCTTTTACTGTCAGGAAAAGAGTGACATGCAAACTAAAATCTGAACTCTTCTAGAGGATTTAAGCACGAAACATAAGTCCTGATGCTAGGGTTTCTTATCCTCACAATTATGTTGCTAGAGAAATCTATCCTTGGTAACTCCACTTCTCCTGGATACCTCCATTTTCAAAACCAGCTCCTTGCCACGTGATGCCTATCTTCTCCAACTTCTGCTGCTCTTCTTCTGCTGCCATACTCTGTAGACTCAGCTTCCAGTTCTCTCAGTATTCCTACTTTTGTGCTTGAGCACTCCCACTCTAACTCTTAGGTTCTGAAGCCCTAACTTGTCCAGACTTTGCTCAGGTTTGTTTGCTTGTTTTGGGGTAAAATGTTGCCAGAGACCACTCTTACCTTTAATGAGAACAGCTATACCTCAAATTACATATCTTATTGATGGTCTTCCACTAATTTTATATGTGTGTATATACATAATAATTATTTTTAATAACTTTTGACTCTCTACCCATCATACTGATGTATAACAGCCAGTATCTCAGAGAAACCCTAGACCTCAAAAGATGGCTGGAAGGTAAATAAGAATTCTCAATTTAAATGAAGATTATGATCTATGGATTAGTATTTGCTTCTTTGGATTTTTCATATTTACTCCTTCAGTTGCTTTGGGAATACTGGCAGTATCTGCAAAAATCTTGTTAGATTTGAATCTATATGGCAGATTTATCAAGTCAATACATGATAGCAATTTCCATTATGTCCTCAATTTGTGTTACAGGGGGAGCACGGGTCATCTTATAATTCTAAAATATTCCATTTGTAATTTCTAAATAAGATTACTATAAAATGACTAGTATTCTGTTTCATTCATTTGCCTTTTTGAGAAGTCCTAAATTAAAGTAAGTTAACCTCAAACAAGAGAAAAGTACATACGATACTGGTGCTTTCATCTTAATATTAAAGCAGGCTGTTCTCCATTCATCAATATTTTGTTGCTTAAAAAAAAAAAACCTTCCTATCTCAGTATCTATACAGCAAGCAGTCCGTAAATGTGCTTCTAATAAAAGATGCTACTGACCTTACAGGAGCAGATTACAAACTTTTCCCATTATTCCCAGTGAAGTGGACAATTTGCTCTGAACGTTCATGGTTTTTGCCTTCCCTAGGGCAAAAAGTACCTACAAGAAGGCTTACTAAAGTTAATTAGTCTTTGAGATTTTGAACACAGAAAAGCTAAAGAATATTTTAGTCATTAGGAAATTTCTAAAAAGAAAGAATACTTAAAACCAAAGTTACAAATTTCAATCTATTTAGACTTTAATTTGTGCATTTGTGATAATTTATGACTGCAAAACACTTGTTTTCCTAGAATGACATAGTGAAAGGCACATTTCATCTGAATGCATAGTGTACCATTCTAAAATATCCTAATTTCTTTACAAAGTGCTTGAGCAGTCACATACACATACAGTAATAGCAAAATATATTTACACTCGATAAAGCTTAAAATTTTAAATCTAAAATATATATAAACTACAGAAAAAAATTAGTGCTTTCTTCAGCTTAATTGTGTAAATAGACCCTGCCCTCTAATTTTTTTTTAGTGATTGACTTCAATTAAAAAAAAAATTCTGTACACTGTGTAGTTACAAAATGCTATGTCAGTTTTTAACGCTAAAAGCCTATTTTAGACATTACTTTCTTTGCATATTTGAGAACCAAAAAAAGGTGAGCAGACTGTACCTCAAAAGTATTTAGTGTTTTATTTTAATGTTGTATTAACACTGTTTCAATTAAAGCCAGACAATTAAGCTAAGTTCCTCTATTGTCCTTTGCCAAGGAAGTTAACTGGCATTTTAAAATAACCATTCTTCCCTCTTCTATAATATTTTCTCCCAAAGGATCTTGAGTAATAAACAATTTTGAAGGTTGTAAATGATCTCTGGACAATTTTAATTGTTCTCAGAGTACAATGAAAAGATGCTAAAACATCCCAGCAAGGCTGAAATATTTATAAATGTTTTTAGCTCAACTCTCCATAAATCAGTGTGCTTTTTCATGTTCCTCATAAGATTTACACCTAAACAATTTTTAAGAGATGAGCTCACTGTGATTAAATAGTTAATTCAGTAAGGTTACTTAATAGCTTGCTATTCCTGAGGTAAAATGACCCTAACATACTAAGCACAGGATCAAAGATGCTATTACTAAACCTAGAAAAAACAATAAAGTCATAGACTAGGAGGAAAAAATATAAAATCAAACCAAACCAAAACAAAAAAGTACAGGCAAGTGGAAAGTCATGGTTTACAAAAAGACAACCCTATAGGAGTATAAAACGCCACAGACGGATCCTCTGAAGAGTTGTATAAAATATTTGATCAAATTATTTTTGAGACTTTTGAGGTACAGCTTTAGTGTTATATTTTTTTTATAAAATATAGACTGTTTTATCAAAAATATTTATACATTCTGTTACAATATATTGCTTTTGCCCTCAGTAACTGCCAATATAAAATCTGGATCCAGTGGCCTAAAATATACAAATACACTTAATGTAAATGCGGGAGTTTGAGGTGTCTGCTTGGCCACTGTACAAAAGTGATGAAGTGGTGAAATTAAATAACAAGCCTATAACATAGAATACATTACAACTTGCACATATACATGTTCACAGCATGTATACAATGATAATCCCTATGGTTTAACCAACTTATAGTTCCCTTCTACAGCAGACACAAAAACAAGGTGAAATAGGTTGGCAGATTAGAGTGACTGTCAAAAAAGGGGTAATCAGTTCACTGATTCTGGAAGAAGATCTGACTGAACATACTGAGTGTCTAGACTTTGGGAATGCATACAGGTAACAATATCTTGGTTCAGCTGATTAAAAGTTCTCATTCTTAACATCTTAAGTAAATGTTGATCTTGTTCGTTTCAGCACTGTTTAATAAACAAAAAAACTTGTTTGGCAAGCAGCTCTGTTGGAAAGCTATAAGCCTCTGTTACATGGTTGATAAAATAAGGCAATATAAAGTTTTCTCCTAATAAATATAGAACATTTATAAAATAACATCAATTTTTTTAAAAAAATTCAAACCCCAAACTGTGTACAAACTGCTATGTTTTTTGATATTACAGTAATTTTTTTTTTTAAAAGAGCATTTGCCTTATTCAAACAGAATCACTTTGTGTGAACAGTAATAGCATTCCAAGCCCTTTTTTCTTTTTGTAAAACATAGTTAAGTGATTAATTTTCCTCCCACTTAAGGCAGGCATATGGCAAAGGTAGGGACTATAAAAGAGTGGTTTTTTTTTTTCGTTCTTTTTTAAAATAGAGTATTGATCCAAAAGTATTTGTGATGGATTTTCATGGCCGATGTTTACTCAACTTAAACTCCATGAAACTGTTTCCAGTGCTCATATTTATGCTGAAGTACATTGAGAAGCCACTTTTCAAGAAGTATTAGAATTGTACTTTTTAAACAAATCTTCACGTTTCAATTAAAAAAAAAAACTCAGAAGCTATTGGTGGCACAGAGAGCAAATGAAGGGTTGCTATTTTTAAGAGGTCTTCTTGTGAGTCAGCAGTCTGCTTGGTTTTGCAGTATCTAGTAACTTAACACCAATCAGCAATGTAGTCAAAATCTCTGAACATTTCCTGTTCCTCATCTGAAAGTATCCTTGGTTCTCGAGGTGGAGTGAGAATAGGTGCTTCTGAGGTAAATTCATCATCAAAATTACTGACATCTTCTCGTCCTCTTATGGTAGGTACAAATGGTGGCTTTACTTTTTTGTCCATCAGAGCACTCCAATCAATTAGCTGGATCATAAAATAGAAAATGACTAGTTTAGTTTCCTACATACATCTAATCACATTAGTTTCATAAAAAATTTTAAACAGTCACACTTACCCGGAAAAATGGGTGCTTTTTTACATCTTCTGCATCTTTCTCACCAGCCCCAAGGCGCCGTTCAGGATTTCTTCTTAACAACTAGCACAATGTAAGATTAAAAAGTTAAAATAAAACCAATAGACTAAAATTGACTGATAAGAATTATTACTTTAAAAATTCAGATGTATTTTGTCTGTTTTTGTCTAAGCCATGCAACACTTATGAAGTGAAAAACAACTTCTGAAGTTCTACTGGGAAATTTTCTTTAGTATAAAAAATTGAAGTAGTCAAAAAAAATTCTTATCCTTATTTTAATTCTTACCCTTCTCATTATAGAAATGGCTTCTGTAGATAAGAACCTTGGATACCTTACTTCATCATTTACAATACTGTCAAAAACTTCCTCTTCATCATCACCAGGAAAGGGAGACTAGAAGAAATACCTTTGAGTAAGTTAAAGCAAGTTTTAAGATGGCAAAATCTTATCACCTATTCAAAGTACAACCAAGATCCAGGCAGTGAAAAAGAAAAAAAAAAAATCCATACCTACCAAAACAAAAACAACAACAAAAGAACAATAAGAAGCGACAATATCTATTACAGAGGGAATATACCATGTACTTTCTGAAATCTTTAAAATTTATAGAAATTTATAAAAGTTTGTCTATCTCATATATGTCCATCATATCATTAAAATTTTGTCTATCTTATATATGATATGGCCTTTCAATTAATTTCATTCTATTTCATTTCATTCCACTCCACTTCATTTTATTTCATTAACTCAATCACCTATTTGGCCAGATAGTCAATTTTTAGTGTCTAACAGTGGTGAATATTTAGTTAATAGATACAATCCTGAAGAACCTTAATCTTGTAGAAAGACAGAAGAAAATGGATAAGGTGAATATGGTAATAAGTGTTATGTAATAAAGGAAAGCAGTCTGTGGAAATACATCAGATATGAATGTGCTTTGGATTTTAAAGTCAGTAGTAAATTCACGGTGGTAAAACACAATTAGAAATTAGCAGGCATAATGACTATACTAAGTAGCAGCTACTAACAAATTAGACTGAAAAGAACCCAAAAAGCACACACTGCCAGGCATTTTTTAATGTTCTAAATACAAAAAGTCTTAGGGCATTTCAGTAAGCAGAGTATTAAAATAATTTTTCATAATGACCCTGAGTCATAAAAAAGTAGTTACATTATATTCAGTATGACAATTTGATTCACAGAGATAAGCTTTCACCTAGACTGAAAATGTGTCTATCAAATGTGACTGCCTGTCACAGAATTTCAGATGGCTTAAAAATCACTCAATTATTTTTAAAATCAGAAAGCAAATGTGTAAGTATCATTTAATTCCTTAAAATCACTGAAATGAATCAGTATCTTGAACCTTATTTTCTCATTGGCTATTGAAGAAATATAGGCTTACTTATCCTCATTAGATTTGATTTGGCTGCTTGCTTCCAATTAAGTTTTAAAGAATAATAAGCAGAAAGCAATATCCAAGGAATGGGAGCAATCTTTAAGGAATCTGTGAAAATAAATTCAGAATCCAACTTCTTAAGGCTGAGCCTTCTAATCTGACTGCTCATAGCTAAGAAAATTTCAAAGCTTTCAATTACCAAAACCTTAGTTTGTTCATTTACTCACTCAAAATACATAAATCAAATATACTACCTGGGACATGTAGTACACTTAAAATACATAAATCAAATTAGTACATGGGACAATCTAATTTCTTTTGGGAACTGAAACAGCAAGTCAGGGGAAATTTTTATTTTACTAGAATTATCAATGAATAAACAAAGAGAGCACTTGTGTCTTCTGCTTGAACAATTTTGTACCTGAAACTGTCACTCTACAAGTATCTGAATAGTAAAGAAATATCTATACATTTGTTAAAATGTATAGTAAGCACATTTAAAATAAACCAATAGTCTGTTCAGATGTCAACACCAATATCATCTAAAACCAAGTCCAGCATTACGTTCAAGCTCTTTGGCATCTTCACTCTCGTCTGAGACAGGAAAAAAGGGACTTGGGGATGTTTGTTTATTCCTGGAGTCTTTCCAGTCCTCAAAACTAGCAGAAGTATACAAATTTGAAGATGTATAACACATACAATGAGTTTATAATTATTTGTAATAACAGAGAAATCTGACATAAACTTGAGCCAAACCTTACTTTCATAATAGTTAAAAAGAAGCTATCACTAGGTGTTTCACTAATGCTATAAAATTATGAAGTAGACTGATGAGTTTTAAGTTTCTTTTCCCAGCTACCCGCTTGTGGAGATACTAAGAAGAAATTGCAAGAAACAACTGTGAAGAAATAGCCAGATTCATTGTCTTTTATCTTCTAGGTAATTAAGAGCTCAATCAACTAGCTCTTTTAAAAAATATGAAACAGAAGCTTCCTTATTTTCTGCCAAACCCTCCAGTGGGAGTAGAATCAACTGGCTATTAATTCTACAGTATTTTATAATAAACTCATATATTTTAAACGTCATCTATAACATGGAGAACAAGTTTTAAGCAAGCACATAATTGAATCTCATAATATCATACTTACTTGAATATTAAACAAAACAAAACAAAAAACCCCATAATGTTACTTTTAAAATCAAGAAAGGGGGTGCGGAGGAGTTAAAGTATGCCAGAGCTTACAGAGGATTATTTTACGAGAACTTTTGGCACTCTCAGAAAGTAAAAGGCACTGTGAACTGGGACTAAAATAAATCTTACCAACCTAAACACTGCACAACAGCTTTTCTAAATAGAGGTGAAAATTCAGATCTGGACCACTGGTCTTAAGAACAGAAACAAGGCTGGATGAATTGAATATCCTATCCTGGAGCAGCAAAGCATAATGCTTTAGAGATATATTCTGGAGCCAGAGTGACAAGGCTAAAATTCCAGCTCTACCACATAAGAGCTGTGTGACGTTAAGCAAGTTATTAATCTCTTTGTGTCTCTATTTACACCTCTGAAAATGGGCATAAGATCACTACTGAGCTTATTAAAGGCTGTTACAAAATTAAATGAATATTTAAAGCACATAGAACAGTGATTAGCACATGATAAATTTTATTTTAATTAGCCATACTTCTCCTTTTCCAAAGAATCTACTTCAATTTGACATACCAAAAGGGGCTATCCACCTGGATAAACTAAAATGATTTGTTTGTTTGGGGTAAGTGCCAATAAATGAAACACAGAACAAAACTTTAGAAATTTTTGATATTCAATTTGATGATTTGTTCATTCAGCTTCTAACTTCCTAAACTTTTAAGTGTGTAACAAAGATTGTTGGCATGGGGAAGCTGCAGAATAATGAACCAATCCCTTAAAATAATTTTTCTTGCATCTCCAGTTCATGTCCCTTCAAGTAGTCTTCAATTACTTATTAAAAGATTTACTCTTTCCCAATTTCACCACAATTCAACATTCCTAACAATTTATAACATAATACATTATTAGCCTCTTGTTATTGCTTTATGTAACATAACTATTTCCTAATGGTAATAATTTCTATGTACAACTCAATCATCCTCAGAAATTTAAGTTAATCTACACAAAACAGTTGGAAAAAAATGCTAATCTTTTTAACTCTACCGTTTTTGAAGGCGACATTTCTTTTTCTAAATTATAATTTATTTTATTTAACAATCTAGGAAGTTTGCAGCCATTAGCAGTTCTAGTGCAATTTCAGGTGCAATTGGATATTCAGGAATCTCGGTGGAGTTGTTAGTGTAAAATACACACATACTTTTGATAGCACATGTGAAGGTATCTCTCTAAAATTGACCTAATTGGTTTCATTCTCAGCAAACTGACCTAGGCCCCTCAACATGGCTTTTATTGTGCCTGATGTTAACACACATTCTGATTTTATGGCCATAAATTCATGGCCATTAGACGATATCAATTTGACATACATGGCATCATTAGGGCCTTCATGGCCACCATAGGTTTTCTCCTCTCCATTCATTTTGTTTTTATGAAATTCTACTTTGCTTCCTCAGGAACTTTTAATAGTTTCCTGGTGAGGCAAGGATGCACAGTGTGTCACTCACTTCCATCTGGAGGAAGTCAAGGTAACATTTATTTCTGACCAATTTATAGTGGGCTTTTCTTTACAGGTACAGAGTACACTCTTTTTATTAGTCTTCCTGTTATTCTATTCCCTATAAAGACTATGTCTTAAAATCAGAAAACATAACCAAAGCACAGTACTGAAATTCAAGGAACTATTTTGAAAGCACTGGCAATGCATTCTACAAACTACATAAAAACTTTATTAAAGGTATTACAGAAAGATAGTTGACTACTAGTATACTATAAATATTTATAAAACGTAAATTCCATTCCACTCATACTGAAGATAGTATTAGGTGGTTTTAAAAATCACATTGCTTTATTATTTAATTATCCTTCCTCTGTTCTCTTACCTATTTCACACTGCTTACCTCACCAACAAGCATTTCATATATAAGCACACCAAGGCCCCACCAATCTACAGCCCTTGTGTAAGAAGTTTCTGTTAATACTTCTGGGGCAAGAAATTCAGGAGTGCCACAAAATGTGCTTGTTCTATCTCCATATCCCATTCCTGGAAAAGATACAATTTAAACATTTGTTAGCAAATGAAACAAATCTAGCATAAAAATAACCAAAGATATATTTGGGAGGCAAAATTAAAGTTGCACATTTGTGCATGGTGAACAAATTCAGACATATCAAATACATTTAAAGAAAACAGTAAAATCTAGTACAGCAAAAACTGCAATAGCAATGCTGCTAATTAATGGGTAAAAATAAGCAAAATATCCATGCTTTTTTTCAGTTACTATTTTTTCTTGAAATTACAAGGGAGCTAAGAAATTACAACAAAATGAACTGATTGTGAAGTTCTATCATCTAATTCAATCTTAAATATGCTTATTTACTTCATTATAAAAACAACATTATAAAAAAATAACAGTTTTGCCGGGCGCGGTGGCTCAAGCCTGTAATCCCAGCACTTTGGGAGGCCGAGGCGGGTGGATCACGAGGTCAAGAGATCGAGACCATCCTGGTCAACATGGTGAAACCCCGTCTCTACTAAAAATACAAAAAATTAGCTGGGCATGGTGGCGCGTGCCTGTAATCCCAGCTACTCAGGAAGCTGAGGCAGGAGAATTGCCTGAACCCAGGAGGCGGAAGTTGCGGTGAGCCGAGAGAACGCCATTGCACTCCAGCCTGGGTAACAAGAGTGAAACTCCCATCTCAAAAAAATAAATAAATAAAAAATAACAGTTTCAAAAATACCAAAAAGCAAACCCTTGTATAAATCAGAAGCTGACCAACTGTGTCATATAATATAAAGAGATAGGGCCGTGAACAGTGGCTCACACCTGTAATCCCAGCACTTTGGGAGGCCTAGGCGGGTGGATCACCTGAGGTCAAGAATTCAAAACCAGCCTGGCCAACATGGTGAAACCTGTGTCTACAGAAAAAAAAGAAAAAAGACACAAAAATACAAAAAATTAGCTGAATGTGATGGCGCCGCCGTTACACCTGTAATCCCAGCCACTCAGGAGGCTGAGGTAGGAGAATTGCTTAAACCTGGGAGGCAGAGGTTGCAGTGAGCTGAGATCCTGGTATTGCACTCCAGGCTAGGTGACAAGAGCAAAATTCTATCTTAAAAAAAATAATTAAAAAAATAAAAAATGTGTGTGTGTGTGTGTGTGTAGAGGTGAGGGGGGGAGAGAGAGCAAGTGAGCGCGTGCATGTGCGAGCGCAAGTGAGCACATGTGCGCAAAATAGTATGGGTTAAACATCCTTAATTCAAAAATCCAAAAATCTAAAATTTTAGCTCCAAAATCTGAAACATTTTGGGTACCAACATAATGCCATAAATAGAGAATTTCATAAGTATTTAACAAATGCTTAGTTTCATGTACAAAACTATTAAAAATATTACATAAATTTACCTTCAGGCTATGTATAAGATACGTATGAAACATATTTAAATTTGTGTGAAGACTTGGGTCTTGGCCCCAAGATATCTCATTACGTATATATGCAAATATTCCAAAATCCAAATATATCTGAAATTCAAAATACTTCTCATTCTAAGCATTATGGATAAGTGATACTCAGCCTGTATTAATATTTTAGCTAACTAGATTTTAGGTATATGTTCCTGTTTATTAATATGTTAATCAAATATAGTCTACATACTGAAGATACTGTCTCTGTATTCCAAAGTGTTAAAAACTTGTCATAAGTGTCATCTTATTAGGAATTTTAAATAAAATCTCTCAATTCTAAATTAAGAACAATTAGGTATGCATATATAGTGACTGTAAAACAGAATTGAATTTGTATGTCTATGAACCAAGACTTGAAGGGCAAAATTAGATACAGTAGCAAATAGGGGTGAAGAAATTTTTTTGGCAAAATTTCTTTAACACTATCATGTTTTTATTTTCTTCGATAAAATATTATTTTTAAAAACAGTGATATAGTATTAATATCTATATAAGTTCTGCATCAGCCTTTTAGTGACTTGGCCAAAATTAGGAAAAAGTTAACAAAGAAATAGAAATTATGTTTCTTATAGTAACATCCATGGAAGTGGTTAATATTAGGCTCTAGATTAATACCTGGTTTAAGTTCCTGTTCTGTCACTTGTTAACTGTGAGAGCTTGTGAAAGCTATCTAACAACAAAGCCTAGGTTTCCTCATCTGTATATGAGGGTTAATAATACCATCTACCAGTATGGAATGATAAGACAAGGAAGACCCAGAGGGGTGAGGAGGTGCGAGAGGAATGGATGGTGAGAAATTACTTAATGGGTACAATGTATGTTATCTGTATACAATGTATATCTTAAAAGCCCTGATTTCATCACTACACAATTTACGCATGTAAATTATCAACTAGCAACCTGACTTCCTGCAGCAAATAAATCATTTTTGTTTGGGTAGTGTTTGAAGTGTCTATTGACTATTCAGGTAGAGCTGTCTAGTAGATAGTTGAATATATATCTTTGGAATCCATAGGAAAGGAAATAATAGATTTGGAAATCATTAGGATATAGCTGCTAGTCAAAGAATGGCAGTGAAGAGCAGCCAGCTAAGGGGAGATGCTGAGAAACAAAAGCATTTAGATCAACCATGTCCAATAAAAAGAAGCCTCAGTTAGAGAAAAGACTTACTTGACTCAGCAATTAGATCAGTGGGTATGTGATGGACATATTTCTACAGTTTATTTATTTATTCATCCAACTACTTATTAATCAAACACTTACTGAATACTTAATATGTACCATGGACTGTGTTATGTACTATGGAAACAAAGCTAAACAAGAAACAAGAAGCCACCAGTGTAGAGGGAGACAATGTTAGTACTAGTAAACAGAAAGCGTTTTTTATAGTTGAGGAAATAGACTCAAAGAGGTTGAAACTAAGTTTTCCAATGAAAAACAGCAAATACTGGCAAAGCCACAATTCAAACCTAGGACTTTTTGGTGCCTAAGCCCATGATCTTTATCCTTTCTTATGTTACCTCTAATTCAAATTTCCCCAATTTATTTTTGAATATACAAAAAACATACTTGATGTGTCTATCTCTATTTATTTTCTATTTTTAAATGCTTCCAGTTTTAAGAAGCTGGAAGTAAATTATCAGGCCTATGAAATTCACTGTGTATAGTCTCACCAGAATAAACGATTTTGGTGCTTAATCAATACTTTCTTAAAGTAGTCACAGAATTATTAACCGTGCAGAGAAGCTTACTATGATTTCTACACATCTAACCTTATTTGTATTCACAGAACAAATTCTTAATGTGATAAATAGGTTATATGAACAATTTCTTTATTATATCTACAATGTCCAAATGAAGAATAAATTAAAAATTAGTTTGTTTTCCACAAACTTGAAAACTACTGATGTACAAAGAAACAGTATTTTATCAGAAAACAAACTTTAAAACATTCAATTACCTTCTTTGCAAAGACCAAAATCAGCAATTTTCACAAAGCCCTCTGTATCTAGCAATAAGTTATCCAATTTCAAATCTCTGTTCAGGATAAAAAGACACAGCATGGAAAAAAAATTTAAAGAAATCAGTTTAAAAAATAATTTCAACTGGAACTGTATTTTTACTAAAAATAGGTTTTCCAAGTTATGATCTGAGATTTAAATACTATTATCACAAGCATTCAGTTTTCTTCCTTTTGATAAGTTGATTGCTCTACATCAGATAGCTTACGAGAAATTCTCCTGTTACGTAAAAAAAGGAAAAATGTATTTAATTTGTTATTTGTGTTTATCTAATTTAATTCAATTTTTTTTTAAGAGAGTCTTGTTCTGTCACTCAGGCTGGAGTGCAGTGGTGTGATCTTGGCTCACTGCAACCTTCACTTTCCAGGTTAAAGCAATTCTCATGCCTCAGCCTACCAAGTAGCTGGGACTACAGGTGCCCACCCACAAGACCAGCTAATTTTTCTGTATTTGTAGTAGAGATGGGTTTCACCATGTTGGCAGGCCGGTCTCGAACTCTTGACCTCAAGTGGTCCATCTGCCTTGACCTCAAAAGTGTCAGGACTACAGGCATGAGCCACTGTGGCTGGCCAACTTAATCCAATTTTAAAGTCTGCTTATATACCATCCATAAAAAAACAACTGTAAGGCTGACAGTATTAATAAAACATAGGAGGGCAGGTTTAATCATCTAAAAGAATAAGAGAAAGCTATCCATCCATACTAATAGATTACAAATGAGGCAAATTGACAATATTTTATCAATGTTTATACATTTATTTTCTATTTTTGTGAGACAAGGTCTCACTCTGTTATCCAAGTGGAGTGCAGTGGTATAGTAATGGCTCACTGCAGCCTCCACCTCCCAGGCTCAAGCAATTCTCCCACCTCAGCTGCCTGAGTAGCCAAGAATATAGGCAGATGCCACCACTCCTGGATGATTTTTAAGTTTTTTGTAGAAACAGGATATCACTATGTTACCCAGGCTAGTCTCAAACTCCTGGGCTGAAGCAATCCTCCCACCTTGGCCTTCCCAAATGCTGGGGTTATAGGCATGAGCCACTGTGCCCAGGAAATATTTTATCCTTTAGGTAAAATAGGACCTTATCACGAAAACATCATTAGAAGCTTAAATAAACCAACTAGGCATGGTGGCGCATACCTATAATCCCAGCACTTTGGGAGGCCGAGACAGGTAGATCACCTGAGGTCAGGAGTTCAAGACCAGCCTGGCCAACATGGTGAAAACCCATCTACACTAAAAATACAAAACTAGCTGGGTGTGGGGCAGACACCTATAATCCAGGTACTCAAGAGGCTGAGGCAGAAGAATCACTTGAACCCAGGAGGCAGAGATTGCTGAGAGTCAAGATCGCGCACTGTACTCCAGCCTGGGCGAACAAAAGCGAAACTCCATCTCAAGAAAAA